CCCAAATGCTTTGATACTTACCCCGGTACTGGAACTTCCAGTCGGAGCGAGATTTCCTGTGAGCGGCAGTGCCAAGAGGCAACATTTAGCCGGCTTACCAGCCAATCAGGAAGCCATGTGGCGGCTTCCTGATTAGCTGGGAAGCTGGCCCCATGCTGTTTGGCTGGATCAATGCTGATTGACCGGGAAGCTGGCTTCCCAGCCAATCAGCATTGAATCTGCCAAACAGCATGGAGCCAGCTTCCCGGCCAATCAGGAAGTTAGGCCACCCGGCTTCCTGATTGGCAGGGAAGCTGGCTTACCAGCCAATCGGCACGGAGCCGGCTTTCCGGCCAATCTCCATGGTTGGGAAGCTGGCTCCATGCTCCTGGAAGTTCCGGTATTAGCTATCGGTACTTTTATACTCGATACCAAAAAACTGGTATCGGTGCATCCTTAAAAAGAACTATTAGGACCTGCTCAATTTGAATTGCCCCAGATTGGCACGTTTACTTCTGACAGAAATATAGGAATTACCATGACCATTGCGGCTTTGTTTTTTTATAGATACTTGCTCTAAGGAATACTTTTCCTCTCTTCACGTCTTGGGGGAGTTACCAGACCTGAAACAAACAGGCGCATTTCAGATGCTCGGATATCCAAGTTAACATGATTAAATCAGTTAACAAACCATGGATAAGAATGACAGCTTGTACTGTCCAAAACAAATCAGCAGTGGAAATTTCTAGATTTCGGCCCTGGAAACGTGTCACAAACCAGGGCAATTCGTCCGAAGCATGTGATGAAAATATACATAAACAGAAAGTGCCTTCAGTGTAACCCTCATTGCAGAACATTCATTAGGGACTAGTAAAAGAAACCGCAGCACGGGGACACAGGCATTCAACACTCCTGGAAGTGTTGAATGCTGAAGACTTTGCCAGAGGCTGTACTGGTTGAAGAGAGCAGAATTTGGACTTTCCACCTGCCAGAGAGGTAAATATTCAGTTGTCTGGAGCAGGAGCAATGCATTGGATTTTTTTGTGGAAAGCAATAGTTTCTTTTCAGAGTCAAAGCGCAACAAACAAATCTTTCCATTTTTAGAAGATGGTGGGAAGTTATGTCATCCAGTATTTTGTTGTGTCTCTTGGGGGACCCCAACTGTAAGATTTCTGGAAGAGGATTATCAATTCTGTCACATATCAAAGCAGTTCTAAACAAGCAGAGATGTATCAAATAGGTACAGCATGAGAATAAATTCCTTCCTCAGCTGCTCTGAAGTAGCACTGTAACAAAACAAGAAAACCTGACCCCAACCACTTCTGAACTATGAGTCTGTTTAGAGGGAAAAATCTGTTGCATCTTTAGTAATAAATCTGTTTCAAAACTTTGTCACACTTGGCTGCCCAGGAATACAGACACACAGACAGGCCAGGCAGATACTTTTCTGAAGAAGAGTCAGCCTGATTTGCAACTAATTATGTCACTTATTTGCTTGATAAATGTTCCCCGTGTGTTTTAAGTTCCTGGATTTGCACAGTTGTCACTGTCTCTTGGATTTTCTTTTTGTTTTATATTAAGGAGGATGCAACAGGAGGGCTGGAAACAACAATTTTTTTACTTTTTTTTTGACGGAGAAATGAGGGTTAAAGATGGGCCGGAACAAACCTATCTGGCCACAGGAGTAACCATAAGAAATAAGAAGGTGAATTGGCCTACCTGTAACTGAAATATGACTTAAAGTACAACTTAAGACTCTTATATTGTAGTCTAAACAAGTACCAAATCCAGTTTCTGTGCCTCCTAAAGTAAGAATAAACTTCCCTTACCCTCCCTGACTGAGTCAAATCTTCCTTCATTTGTGTCTCACATGCTCCCCCTCCCAGACACTGCAGCTCACAGTGGGAGGGTTTTTAGCAACAGAGATGGTGCTGTCAGTCCAGAAAGCAGAGGGCAGGACTAGCTGTGGCCATGTGTTGATTTATAAGCTACAGACTTGTGAATCAGCAGTGACCATGCTGATAACTACTCTCCAACATTTTTTTATTTATCTGTAGTGCAAGCAGGGACAACCTACATGAGCGGCAACTCTGCTCTTAATTTCAGGAACAGTACAGCAGTGTTACCACACTATCGTATGACGCTACATTAGGTGGACTTCAATGGCAGCCTGAACAAATATTTATGAGACTGCAGGGGGACTATGAGAAAACTGTTAGTGCAGATGTAGTTACATGCCTTGGCATATATACTTTTGTATGTTTTGAAGCACATTGAAGGGCTTATGCACGCATGTGCAAATACAGGCATATTGGCATACAGTGTACGCCTGTTTTTGCTGTGCCTAGGGGCTCCAGGTATCTATGAACAAAAAACACTATGTGGGTATACTCGTGTAAATGCTGGTACCTGCATTTACTGGGGCACAGCCGTACGTTCCCAAGCGCTAAACACAAATACATTCCTATGGACAGAAAAACACAGCAGGTGGCGCTCCCTGATGCTGCAAATACATGAGTGTCTTTTACTCTATGTCCATATGCATGCATTTGTGTGCATGATTCCTAAAGCTGAATGAGTGAGCAGACAAATAACCATTTGTTTTCAAGGGCCTTATTTTGATGTTTCAGCCCCATAAATGTCATGTAATACTTATTTGTTTTTGGTTGTGTTGCTAGACCAGGTAACTTTTTAGATTTGTCCCCTTTTATACACATTTTAAGGATCAATGCTACATACAAAGTAGACTCACTCCATCGAGCCTTATACTGCTTCATATTCAGTCAGCCAGTGTGTGCTTGAGCACTTTCATGTCTTGTATTTAAAAACACTTTGCACATTCCTACGGTGGAACAATGACAGCCTACAGGGCAGCAATGCCTTGTATTAAAGCTCAGTGGACAGACAGTGGAGCGATTAAGCCCTTGACAAGTATTAATCAGGTTTCTGATTGTCCCGACACAGCATCTGGTCAGACGTGGGGCTTTGATTAGGCTAATCTAGTCTGCACATGTCCATAATCCAAAGTGGGGGATTAAGACCCTTTCAGTTTTATTAAAAGACGGTCACGTCTCTCCAACACACACTGAATCTCGCCCCCAGTGTCATCAATATCATAAGGTACTGCAATAATCTGTGGTGTACACAATATGAATCTTTATTCTGCAGTGTCATGTTATTCTAAAGAGCTTTTCACTCATAAACTTTAACAGCCACTATGGCATATAACTTTGCACTGTTCTTCGTTTTTAATTCACAATTTTAAAATTGTGAATTCTTCCAAACCAAACTATTAGTGTCACTTTTTTTTAATCTCTGCATAAGCAATATAAAAATCTATATTAACTTGTTAGATGATGAGATGTATGTTCTTCATATTCCCCATTGCAACTTAAAGATATACAGGGTACCAGCTTGTCAGACTATAAAGAGGGGAAAGGTTATTCAAATATTCTGTAAGCTTTTTAAGTTATTACATCCATACATACATGTATGTAAATAATGTTATCAGTATCTGTTAATATTTAAAGCTACTCCTACGAACAGATAGAAAAATCCCCTACCACTGCAGTGGCTGGTAAATTCTTACTTGGGTTTACTGTGCCAGGGAATGGTTAATGCCTCTCGTTAAAGGAAACCAATACTGACAACAACAACAAAAAATACTAGTTGCTTGTCTCTGGCTTTATTATGACGTTAGAATGCCTCATTTGGTGTACTTCTTCCAGGTCAGTAACTAAAAAAAACAAATTGATGCCAGGTCAACTTCGCAGCCAGGCATTTCCATAAAGACATGTCAGTTATGACCGTCTTCATTTTTCTCTCGCACAGGCTTCTTTAAGGCCCTACTATCTGACTACTACTCTAATATGGCTGTGCCTATGATGAGTGTCATTTTTATGTTTTTTTTTCACTTATGAAAAATGCCCTATATATAAAAATGCCAAGTTAATTCACAACACAGGGAATGTGCTTTTCTTAATATTCTAATGCCTAAAATAAGAATTTGTCAAGTACCAATAGCTAAGCTGATTTGTCAGCCTTTCAATGGTATGTAAACCCAAGAACAAAAATGTAATATATTGTAGTATTGGCTTTCTTTCCAGGATTTTTTCCTGGTGACCCTGATAACACACTTCCTGTTCGAAAATCACTTTACTGCCTCCCGTGGAGAAGCAACGCTGGTACCATAGGACAGGAAATGTGTGATGCAAACTACAGAATACCTAACCCCTCCCCCATGTTATGGAGATGTTCTGTAGTCATAAGCTTGTGCGTTCCAGAGCGGTAGCTGCTGAGAAACTTCCCCTTGCGTTTTGGGGCGGGAGGGGGCGTTGAATTCAAGGGGGTATTGAATTCAATGGCACTACTTCCACGCCCCCCGTCCGCAGTGCGATCGGACTCCCGGCAAAAAAAGGGCTTGCCCTATTTTTTGCATTTGCAGTGGAACGGAACGCTGGCAAAGTTTTGCCAGTCGTTCGATCGCACTGGGGGTGTGGAAGCTGTGCCATTGAATTCAATGCACCGCCCCGCCCCCTCCCGCACCAAAACACGTGGGGAAGTTTCTCAGCGATCGCGGTGCGTTCCACCAGCTACCGCTCTGGAACACACCCGCTTTCGGTGTGAACAAGCCCTAAATGACCTGGGCCATGAAATAACAGAGCATAGAAAGTTACAAGCACACCAAATTTCTGGCAGGGTTAACTGGTATTTTGCTGTACATGCAGCATTTAAAAAAAGACAAATCTCAGAAAAATATGCATGTATAGGAGAAATGTGCTGAATGTGTTTTGTCTGACACGCAAATACATACTTTTGTTCTCACACTCTGTATTATAACCCTGCCTTCTATCTCCACAACTCTGTGAAGAAGAAAGTGGCAGAGTCTGGGGAAGGTTCATTGCTGTAATCAAGTTATTGTATAATATTTGGTTTTTGAAGGCTGGTTTTTGGGTTTCAGTGATGTTTCCTTTCCTGTAATTTTATTTAATCAGTACTAACATTTTTCTGTCTCTTTCCAGGTCTAGTTCAAATCCCTGTCAGCATGTATCAGACGGTGGTGACCAGCCTGACGCAGGGTAATGGACCCGTCCAAGTTGCCATGGCTCCTGTAACGGCAAGGATATCTGACTCTACAGTCACAGTGGATGGGCAAGCAGTGGAAGTTGTTACTTTGGAGCAATGACTGTTACAAATGGGAAACGTGTGATGTGATTTCCTGTCCCGCTCATCTCCCCAGTGTTTTGAGCAGGAGTGTCTATAGGCATCCTCTGTTGCTTGGAGACCTGTGCCGCTGAAGGGATCCCCTGTGAACAAGACTTATTGCCAAGCCTTTATCTCAAAGTATGTTTTCACCCATACACTGGTCTTATTTTCCCTTAAGCGTTTAATTTATTTCAATAAACCAGTGTCGGTTGCATCAGTCAGCTTTTTATAACCCCTTCAAGACTCAGCGGGACATACAACGTACTGTGGAAAACATAACTGATAATGTTTCATTTGACGAACATCTTCTTACCATCAAAGATGATACAACATGATGGACACCTTTAGGAGCAAAGACTCTTGTGGTTTTATTCTGCTTTTGAACTAAAAGTTAATTTTGAGAACCACGTCATACACAATAGCAGTCAAGGCCTAGTCACATTGCTTAAATTTTAAAAAGTAATACAATCATTTTGTCCTCTTTAGGACAGTGAAATGTCTATAAATGAAGTAACCAGTAAGCGTTTGTAATGCTGTCACCATGTTTTGCTAACTGCTGGAATTTGTAGATTAACAAAAGAAAGTCATCACCTGTTTGCCAGAGCTTAGGTAAAAGAATATTCCGCTAATAAAAGGTCATAATTGTCTACCTACAGTAATGCTTGCTCCGTATAAATTTCACTGAAATTGTGCAGTGGGGCACGTACTCACATTTGTCAGTGTTCTATATATGAAAATATATGGTGGGGCTCAGGCAACGGTCCGGTAATGTCTTTCTACTGTTCTCTTATTTTACTGCAGATAATTATACTTGATTTGGATATCTTTGTTCTGTAGACTTGAAAATGTAGGAGCCTGCTTTGACATCATTGTATTAGGGAAATTATTAGGCAGTATACACATCTGTAACTGAAATTCTGGGTGCTGCTATACAATCAGTTTTATTGTGGATACACATGTATCACTAACCAAATGTGGGGCAGTTGAAATAACACACACTGCAGTCTTTTTTGGATTTGTCTGTTGCTGCTGGTGTTACATATAAAACAATGTTGTCCTTCCCTTCCTACCGGTTTTAAATTAATCCAAAATCTTTAATAGTCCTAATTTACGATTTAGCTGTTCAAGCTATATGCTATATGCCTTCACCTAGATAAAGTGGCATAGTTTCATGCACAGAGGTAGTTGTTTTCTGTGGCAGTGTGTTGACTGATATGAGTTTGAACATTGACCAGAGTAGTGAGGAATGCACAACACCATTAGGAACAATTTTTGCTTAAGAGTCATCAAATGCTCAACCCCTTTAAATCCTGGTTTTAATGCTCAGAGTATTGAATGGCAAGCAAATTGGCATTTGAATTGCACAGACACTGATGGCAAAGGTGCCAAGTACGCTTAAGCACCTTTCCCTATACAGTCTATCTCTGACCTTCGTAGGGCTAAGAACAGGCTATGACCATCTCTCACTGAGATTCAGAGTCCCAACAGTCCATCTCTGATGAGACTGTTTTTGTGGCACTGCAGTCTTCTGATGTCACCTCAGAATTACAAGAAGTGGATGAGGCCCTTATTGAGGCAGTACACATTACCTTGCATTTGGAGGATCATATTGAGGGACACAGGTCCCTACCCTTTCTGTTTATGTGCATGCTCTTGATACTGTATGCTACAAACTAATGCATGCCAGGTAAAAGAGGGGTTAGCCAACATTTGTTTCTTGTTTGCCATTGTCCAGGCCTCATGTAAGTGGCAGTACAATCCAACTGTGTATGAATTCCTTTGTTCCTCAATGGACTCCAAGAATAGGATTTTATGGTGTGTACAAAAATCCTGTTCTACTTCTGTGTTGCCTTTAGAGAGCGGCCTTCACTTGTCTGGTGAAAAGGTTGTGCTTGGGACAAGAAGTAACGTGAAACCTCTCCAACTCTGCCCTGAACAGCAGCAAACCCTGACAGGAGTTCTACTCTATCCAAAACTAAATAAAATGTTTTGGCTTTAGATACATTTTTAAAAACCAATCATGAATAGTCAACACATGGTGTTGCATAAAGGGACTCTGCAGGACCCAGGCTGGTGCTGTATGGCAATCTCAACCTCTAGCTGATGCCAAGAGCTACATGACTGCATGCTTCAACTAAAAGCATAGGCTTATCCACCTGTCGGTGTGAGATGTAACCGCTTTGATGTGGAAGCAGGACACGGCCATTCATGCCCGCTGGAGGTCGAAATTGACATGTAGTGCACACCCAAGCCTGGGGTCACAGGGATGGACAGAAGCACTTTCATTAAAAATGCATACATTCACATGAGGTGCCTGCTGTCGGATTGTTACTGCGTTAGATGCAGTGATGGGTTCTCTGAATGCTTGCACAAATGTTTCTGCTTTCTGGGAGCACGAATAGTTTACCTGTGCAGCCCTACCAATTAAAGTATATCTAAAGCAAAAACTGTTTAAGTTTGGAAAAAGGTGGGGGGAAGTGTTTGAAATACCTGCCAGGGGTTTTATTAATTGCATCCCATTGGGGAGATTTATCACTAGGATAAATAGAGTGAATCGCCTTAACAGGGACGCATACAGCAATAAAAGCCTAACAGGGGTTCTAACCATTCCCCAGTCTATTCAAAACAAAAAAAATGGCTTTAAGACCTAGTCCATCCAAAACTGTTTTAATTTTAGGTAGGTGCTGTGTGGTTAAGCAAGCTAACAATATCTTCTATTTCCTTTATTGGCAAGTTCTCTGCACTTGAGGTTTTGGGTCTGCTTACCTGCTGTGGCCATTATGTTGAATTTCCACGCTTCCTGTTGTCTTTTTATTTTATATTATGGAAAATGCAGCAGGAGGAATATACCAAACTGTCTTGTTGGAAATTAGGGCAGGCAGATCTCACTGTCGGAGTATATAATACACTTAAGGTTGCTGATTTAAGAAAACACCTTTTATGCAAACAGACCTTTTTAAATATGTACAATCAGACAGGATCTCTAACCATTTGACTTTTTATTAGTTTTGAATAGTTTATGGAACAGTTGGAACCTCTATCATGCCTTTTGTTGTCATCTGTATGCCCACTGGAATGATTTTCCTTTCTACTTGTTTGGAGACTGTTCTCACCAGGACAGAAAGTAATGGGGAATCCATGACATGAATAGAAATCTTCCAATGGGAACACCTGCTCTGGTGACCATTGTCTTCCCAATTTGGAGAGATCTCAAATTTCTCGTTGTGTCTGGGAAAGGAAGTGAAGAGAAATCTCTCCATCAAGACACAGATGTCAAAAAAGCTACAGGGTTTTAACCATTACGTATTCTAGCTTAAACTGGGGAAAAAAAGCCTAAGTTCCGACTATAGGTATAGCTGGAGCATACGTCCTCTATTTCCAAAGAGATGCTTAACAAGTATGTGTGGCCAAAACATTTCTTTCTTCTTTGGATAATGTGAGTTCCACTGGGGAGTATTCTTCCTGTCCTATCTGTGCAAGTGAGGAAGCGAAAGGGAAATCACCTCTTGTGCTGGAAATGACTAAAATAGTACATTTCCCACCACTCTTTGTGACGGCAGCCACCAAAACCAATAGAAGGGCAGAATCTACCTCGCCATAATTAACATTAAAAACTTGACATCCCTACTCCTATCAAAAGGTTTTGGCTTTACATTAGTGGAGTGACATATTTCTGTTTGCTACGCATGTGGGTTAAAGTGGAACCTAAGACACTTTTTTATTTTGTAGAAAAGAGTTAGAACCTGTTTATCACTATCCATTACCCACTTAGGGAGGTTTTCCCTCACTTCCTTTCCTGGTGACAATCGGGGCATTGATATGGTATAACTTTGCTGTTTATTTTACAGCAATGCCCCGTGTCATTGAGACAGGAAGTGAGTAGACTGCAAAGAATTACGCAGACCGCAATAAAAAAATAATGAACGAGTACATCAATATAGCATAGCAAGTTTTAAATGAATAATTTAACCAAAGATGATTTAAAACACATATATGTCATTATACAGCAATGATGAGCTCAGACAGCAGCACTGATGGCCAAGGAGCACATGGCTATCACTACTTTACATCCTACCACCAGGGTCCAAGTCACCTGTCATTTGATGGTGAGTTACACCCCAGAAGAGGTAGTGCTGGTTGAAACTTTTATTTATTGAGCAATAAAAAACTAACCGAGGCTGTAGCCCTTGCTCACACAAATGTGAGAGCAGGTGAACTTTAACTTTTCTAGTTTGTTTTGGATGGTACTCTTTTCTGTGTTGGTGATGAGCATATCTGGCCAGCTCTGAGAACAATGTCCCCGATACTAAGAATATTTAATCTTGTAACTTCAGGGTTCCAGCTTGCTTTACAGCATATTTATTGTATGTTTAACCCATACACGCTGCTTATTTAAAGGAGAACTATGGGGGTCATGGCTTTTCCCCATAGTTCTCCTAAGGGTAACGGGAGGACACAAACTAGCGTCCTCCCATCACCCTAAGCTCCAGTATACCGTGAGCTGTAGCTGAGACGCAGCAGCCAGGGCGGATCCCGACATTACTGACTGGATCCACCCAGCTGCGTGAGTGACAGCTGGCTTTTCCCATCTAGAGGTCAGTGCTGGAGGGGAGGGGAGTGACAGTCACGGCTCTCTGCAGGGACAGGATCGAGAAGTGAGCGAGCAACGGTGTGTGTTCGATCTATTGAGCCGACCTGTGACAGTTTCATTGTCACACGTCGGCTAGAACTATGAGGTGAGTGATTTTCACTCGCCTCATAGTTCTCCTTTTTAAAGTGTTCATTCATAAAATTATATTTTTGTAATACTGATCACTGTGCTTTGGCAGTAAATACAAAATATTTGTTGTCTTTCCTTTCCCATGAGCTGCAGCAAGCAAGACTGTTAAGCAAATCAGGAAAGTTTACATACGTTGCTGTAAGTGGCTGTTCTGCTTTGATTTACAGGTCCTAGATTTCAGATTATCAATGGGGATCAGTGTTTTTACAGACCAAGTATATACAGACCCTAAGAGTAAAACTGGACAAAACACAAGTTGTTTAGCCATTAGTAGAGTTTCTTCACTGTGTTTGCATTTCATTTTGGATGCACCTTTTGGTCAGTAAGCAAATGGTACACATCACAAGCTTTTGTGCTTATTGTAACTCTAAAGCTCCTTTGCCACAGTTCTATGTGTTTATGTTAGGGCATAAGAACCATGTTACTGCGGCTCTGGACATAGGAGTGGCCTTAGGGTAGAGAAAAAAGCCCTTTGCTGACAAGAGGTATCCCCCATCACACCTTCCTTTCAAAATCATGGTAAAATAGTGAAAGCACTGTTCCTATACATCTTTTTAGGGATAAAAAAAAGTTTGGAGATTATATGGTAGCTAATGCTTTCGCATAATAGTCCATGGTGAGAGT